CCCCCCCCCCCCCCCCCCCCCCCCCAGCTTGCTGACTTGACAAGGTGTTGGTAGAGAGAACAAAAGATTTAACAGCACATCATGCTGCTGTATTTGCCCTTTTGTTTACATTTTATTTTAGCACTACTTATTGACATTTTGATGATAAGTGCAGTACACCGTTTCTTTTAAGTTCAGTCATTTCATGCAACAGCAGTTGTGGAAGTTAGCGGTTTAAAGCAACAAGAACTTATAGGAACATTTTTAAGACTTGATGATTAAATTGCTTTTGAAAACAGAAAAAAAAGCTCAGCAAAACGGAAGCTACTGTGTGAGTGATTCCAATGAGCCTGAGCAGCCTTCAGCTTCCTCCGTTCCTTTCCTCGCCTCTCCCCTGTCTCATGTCTTAGTCTAGGTCTGTCTGGAAGTAGGCTCTCACTGTCTTTGTCGTCGTTCATGTACGTCGTGCTGTGCTGAATGTTCTGAATAGCTCTCGTTCTTTATGCTAACGAGCCTAACCTCGGTGCACTTCCATCACCAATTGGATTAATCCAGCAATATGTTGCACAAAGCACTGACTGAAACAATGGCATGGATGTATTTGCTCTGTAATGGATTCAGGTGCTGCATAGTTGTGATGTCGTGGACGAGGAATAACCCTTTATAGACTTTTACATAGAATGAGATTCAGAAAAAGAGGCTGACTACCAACATTGTGTTTTGTCAGCTGGGATCAGAGATGTATTTGGTGTTAATCCCCTCCCTGGCTATTAAAAAGGGATATTTTTTACTGGCAGGAAGCAGGTGTTAGGCCACTTGGAGTGGGGATACACCCCTGCTGGGCCTCTGGATTTCATTGTGATATAGAGAGTGGGTTTAAAGGCGGACACCCATTGGGCTAAATGAGAAGTGTCACCTTTCATTAAACCGTAGCGAGTTATTTCAACCTCAGGGTTGTCCTGCTAGAGTTCTGAATAAGACAGCATCCTTATCCATTAATCTCAGTCGTTTGATCACACACAATAGTGGCTGTTCTGTTCCAGAATCCACTGCTCACTGACTATTTTTAGTACAAATGATTGTTCAATAAAAACTCTAAACTCTAAAATACATTTGATTTTTGTGATTCTAGTTTTGCACTGACTGAGGTCTGGCTGGTATTTATTAGCACCTGTAACACTTTAAATTATTGTTCTCAGAAACCTTAAAGCTCCATTCTGAAAGAATTTTAGTTTTACTATTTTGAGTATTTTGTGAGCGTTGTGTGAGGCAGTTTATTTTTGTTTGTTTGGATTACAAGTTCCGAAGAAAACTATGATGTGATGAAGTGTGATCTGGTTATTTCAGCTTCTTTGCTGCTAGCTTTGATATTGATTGCATTGGAAACCAGGAACAATCCATTGAAATTGAATTGTCCTCTGTTTCTACTTCCCCCTCACTCAGAGTGCTCACGTGCCGATGATCGATGCCCTCATGATGGCCTACACAGTGGAGATGATCAGCATTGAGAAAGTGGTGGCTTCTGTCAAGCGCTTCTCTACCTTCAGTGCCTCCAAGGAGCTGCCCTTTGACCTGGAGGACGCCATGGTCTTCTGGATCAACAAGGTTGGAGCGCGCAGACACACACACACACACACACACACACACAGCACAGACATAAGCAGTGCATATGTGTGAATGAGCATTAGATTAGGTCCTGTTTCTTTGCCAGCCTCTGCCTGAATGTGTGTGAGAATGAGTAAATGTTGGCATGCAGTGAAAGCGCTTTTAGTGGTTGGAGGACTAAGGAGATATATAACTGGCATTTATATGGCGACTTAAGCCGCCATATAAATGCCAGTTCATTGATCATATTTAAAAACTTTTCACATCAACAGCGTTCCATACATCTTGCAGTCCAGCCTCTTTACTCCGTAGTTGTCAATCTGATTATGACCCTTGGCTGTCGCTCTGCACCATGCGGTATGAATAATCAGTTTCACGCTGACATTATAGGCGACAGTGGCCCTCTTGTTTTCTGGAGGCCTGCATGTCACTGGCGCTCAGAGACGGATAGCAGTGTGGATGTGGTGCACACACAAGAGGCTCATGTTGCACTTATCTTTCAATGAGTTGAAAGCCGTGACGCAGTGTGTCCGTTAATCAACATGATGTCCCACACCGTCACTGTCCGTTTGTGACAGTTTTTATTCCCATGTGGGAGAATAAAAGATCATCATTGACCTGTGTTTTTTTTTTTTTTTTTTTTTTTTTGACTACACGTAAACACACTGTCATTATTTCTACTGCAGGTGAACACAAAGATGAGGGAGATTACAGAAAGGGAGCACAAAGTCAAGCACCCCCCGCTGGAGTCCCCCAGCCACCAAAAGGTAAAGCCACTCACAGCATCTTCCAGTGTCTTCTTCTCCAGGAGAGAGAGAACCTAAAATACCAGAGCTAAAGTGACCAACACATTTCTAACAGTAGCTTTATCTGTCTGGCCTTTTGGAACTTTTAGAAGTAACTTTTCTAACATTGTATAACCAAGTAACAGTTATTTCATTGGTCTTCATCCAGGTGTCATTGCTGCAAAAACTTAGTTCAAGACAAGATCCTTAGATGTGATGGAAGGAATGTTTCTCCCTGATGGCAGCTGTTGTGACCTTGCTCTCCTGTTCCGATCGGACCCTTTTGTCTCCTCTGACCTGTTGATCTCTCTGCTCCTCTTCCTCATCTGTCTCTCTCTCCCTCTCCTCTCTTATCCCTGCAAACTGGATAGTCTCCCTCCAAATGGTATTGGAAGCTAGTCCCTGTAAGTTGGATGCCAGCCCCGCCCCCCCCCCCCCCCCAATAACCCCATTTTCTTTCCTCTCTCCCCCCTTTGCACGCGTAGCCCTGTGTTGATGTCACACACTCCACCATGGCTCATTCAAGCTCATTCTGTGCTGCTTGTAGCCAGTGTCGGTCAGCAAGGGGGAGAACGCTGACGGTTCTTTCTTTTGTTTCTTCTTTTTCGTTCCCTCGTGGCAAACATGTCACCCAGGTGTAAGGTTCCTCTGACCTATTTGTGAAGTGATCAAGAGATATTCCTTTAGCTACGCGATGTGTGCTGCCTCATTTCAAGCTCCAGTACGCCATGTGGATCTGCTGTGTGTTTTTTTTGCTTGCCCAGTGAGAATAAGAGGACATCCATGCCTCCACCTCTCCTTTTTGCTTTGCAGTCCCATCCCTGGCCACTTCCTCTCACTGATCTGCTTTGTCATTCCCCCTCCGGTCTCTGTCTCTTCTGCTCTCACACACGGTCTCCTCTGACATTATCTCTGCTCTCGTGTGTGTGTGTGTGTGTGTGTGTGTGTGTGTGTGTGTGTGTGTGTG